TTCCGAGAAACATGCAAAACGGGACGGAAAACATGAAATTTTGCAATAATCTTGCGCCACCCTTGCACAAAACGACGATCATTTTTCCAATTTCATAAACAACAGAAGACTTTAAAGCTGGATCCGTCCCTGGTTACTTAACAGGAAAGGAGGGGAAATCTCCCAAAAAACGAACTAAAGTAAAAAATTGAGACGAAATTTCCCATAGCAGATGTTGTTTAAAATTCCATTCGCTATCTCCAGAGACTCGTTTATTTCGCTTATAAGTCTAATTTGTCGTACAAAAGTTCAATTACCTAATTATCAGCCGTGGCGGCTAACCGATAAGCCACTACAAGCTATTTATGGCTGTTTAAATCATTAGGCGATAACACCCGGACTAATCTCCAAAGATTTCACTGAGGTTTCTTCCGCGTTACAGTCAGAATTACAGACTCTTTTACGATACAATACAATACATACAGACTAAAAATTATTCGATATTTAGAATCACAACTACCTATATAAAAATATGGACGGAATAAGCATTTCTACAGGCACAAGGAATTCTCCTATCAATCACACTTTGGTGTCAACCAATACAAGGACAGAATGCCAGTTAAGAGCAGCACCTTCTCCATCCTGGGCAGCGAGGCGCTGCCTCTCAAGTATCCAAAGCCAAAGTTGAACTGAATAATGTGCACTTCTGGGTCCAAATAGGGGTTGGAACCGTCGTCGAAAAACATCGGGCACTGATCGCCTAGAAAAACCATCAAACCATACAGGAACTCATCAGTAGCACCTCCATAGTCACTTACGTTCTCTTTCATATTCCTCCATTTGCAGGGCGACTGTAGCTCCTTCTGTATAATTCCACGAGTAGACTGTTTGCTTCAAGTCGCAAAACGGGCCAATGGCTACGAAGGTAGAGAAACAGTCCATGGTTAATCAACGACTCCATTCAGCAAGTCATTTACCTTGAGACATCAACACCCTGTTCAGGTCAGCCCTTTGATAAATCCAGCAGCGGTACTTCGAAAAAGGGTCCAATTCGTCGTAGGTGATCAGGTAGGACTTGAGATTCTCCTTCCAGAACCCGATGCATTTCATTTTGTAATCGGGATCACCTAACAGCGCATTCGATTAAAGTTAGCGAACCAACTTTCGATTAGACCTTACTGTAAATGTCCACCGGCTTTCCTCTATGGTCCACTGAAAGGCAGTAGTTTTCGTCGACGGCAATTTCCTTCTGCTCGTCGTCGCACACGGAAAAATCGGAAATGTTCTCCTTGCAGTAAATGTTGGGGCGAGGACTCAGCGTCACTCCACCTAAGATTCTGATCAACAAACCCCCTACTAAGCAAACCTTTGTCTGACTCATCTAATCACCTGGTTTCAAATGGAACGTCGCCCTTCTGGGTGAAGTTAAATTTGCCAGCCACCGGGCACTTGATCGGCACTGGGTTCTTCTTCAAGAACAAATCATAGCGCCATTTGACTTTGTTCTGGAACTGAACCCAAGAGCAAACTGTGCTGAAGTCGTCCTTAATCACTGCCACTCCCTTTCGGTAGCGGATCAGATTGTGGTGTTGCGGCACAAAATCGAAGCAAAGATAGTCCTTTTGGCTGGGCGTTAAAAAAACAATCGCTAAAACCTGCAGCAAATGGAACGCGAAGGGTTTTACCATCCATCCACGGTTAATCGCGCCATCATAACGCGAGTATCCTTTTGCTCTTTGCACACGTAGATGGTCCTTCTATATCGGCCTTCATCCGGATAGTACGTCTCGATAATGTGGGTCTCGTTGATGAAGACATCGGCGTCAATGTTAGCGGTGTTTATCCAGTCCCCTGGACAAATCCATTTGTGAAACTATCAACTAGTTGATTCCTGAACTCCTTACCTGAGAAGTTTTGGGGCAGGCGACATCCAGGCTCAACAATCTCCGACTTCACTGCAAGCAAAATTCAATAGACCCTGCAAATGTTTAGCGACTGCCGTAGCTACCTGGTTTAATATGCAAACGCTCTGGGCTCTTTTCCACTGTTTTGAGCGTGTTGCATTGCGCCGTGATGGACACACCAATGTACAAGTCATCGTCGCGGTTTTTCAGGAAACATCTGTACTTTTCGTCCTTTCTTGACTCTTTGGTGTTGGCCACAGCAAAGTAGTGGTTTTTGCCCACAAACCAGTCACCGAGGCAGCTGTATTCCACCACTGGAACGATGAAAACGCCCATTAAATCTTGCTAATTTACCCAAAACCTTTTTTTTACCTCCATCAAACGTCCCAGTCATTCCCTCGCACTTCTTGTAAGTGATATTGAACTTCTGGTTGGTGATTAGAAACTGGGAACCTGCCGTTTGGCAGGAGCGGATTTGGGCGTCGGGATTTCTGCACTCGCCTTAAAAGATTGGGTTTCATGCATGAGGCTGCAGCGAGTAATGAAGACCTACCAGTGAACTTAAACCTGTTCTGGTACGCAAAATTCCACACTCCTTCCAGAGAGGAGCGGCAATTGACTGGCACATAGTTTTCGGAAAAAAGCGTGATTAGTTGCTGATGAGGGTCCAACTGTTGGCAAACCCTCTCGACCGTTGGCTCCTGATGGTCAGGCAGAGTGATGCAAGAACCTGCAAAATAGAGCTCTCAAACTCTGTGAACTGCTTGCGGGGAACAGAGTACGCACTTTCCATTGTCTCCAACACGTTCACAGTTCTCACTAAAATTTTCACGCAAATGAAACAGTTTTCACTTTGCCTGTGGAAGACCATGGTGTAATTCACATGGTAGTCGTCCCTGATATCAATGCAAGTGCCTCTGTTGGTCATGGTGGAAGGGTCCAGTTCAGTGAGAATGTTCCTGTTTTCCCACGAAAACCAGGCGCCTCGGATAATGGCCGGAATCGTGCAGTTTAGTGACCAGCTTTGGCATGCTGTGGGCAAACAATAATTACTTTTTAGGTGCTTCGAGCCTTGCCCCTAAAGTTTTTAACCCAATTTTTCAACTTTGGAACTGGTGGACTTACTTAGGGACGCGAATATAACCAATTGAACCCAGTTCATGTTGGGGGGAGCTTATAACATTGACTCAAGGGGCTGTTTTGGCTCGGCACGCCCAAAACCCAAACATTAACCTGTTTGCTTGTTTACAACTTTCAAATTTGAAGGATATCAAGACATTGATGCCTGCCAATAATTTTGCCTGCCTTTGGCAACGCCGCTGCAGGCTAGAAATATGAAAAACCGTGGAGTTGAGCGTGTGTGTGTTAAATAATAATAATAATAACAACAACAGCAACAGCATAATATTCATTAACGGTAATTTCTATTCTGCTTAGCTTCTAATGCGTATATTAAATAGATTTCACTCATCTCATCTTAGATATTTGCTGTACACTTTCTAACTCAAAATTCAAAAAATAATTACGCAAATCTAAAAGTTCTTGAATTCAAGCATTTTTTGAGAAAACTGCCAACAATTCCCCATCCATGGTTCACTTTCTAAAACAGCCATTTATTTCTGTCTAGAATGATGTACAAATGAGCGTTCTTACTCATTTTGCTTCCGAAAAACATGCAAAACGGGACGGAAAACATGAAATTTTTGAAAAACGACGATATTTTTTCTAATTTTTTAGACAACAGTAGACTGTATTTTTTCTACATAAGCCCCCCCTGAATTTAAAGCTGGATCCGCCCCTGCTGTAATTGGGAATGGATGCAATGTTAAACATGAAAATCACTTCAAAGAAAAAGCAGAAATTTAAATCGTTGTTAGCAAAAAGCGGAACACATATAATTGACTTCCAGTGTCCATCGCCTATAAGGTAATTATATTAAGTATTCCAATCGCTTTCTTTTATCGTAAACCCGTTACTTTTGGCTCATGTGTATGCATTATTGGAACCGATTCGTGTACATTGTGAGTTAAGACTCCTAAGTCCTCAAACGAAGAATTGCGCCAATTTCCAACTGCTTCCACCACTGTGTTTCGTTGCGCAGCAAGAACGGTTTTCCTCACTCAAAACCTGTCGCAGAAGCTCAGGGCAAATGTTTGAGGAAAATGTAAGAAAACTCCGTTTTCCCAGCAAAATTTAGCAGAAAAAGCCACACAGTTTGGGTTCTTAAGTCTGGCGGAACCTTTATTATTCTTCGGCTACGGCCACAGTGCGATTTTTTTTTATAGATATGGGCGCATCGTACTCGAATTCGCACTACCAACTCTCTCGTTCATTGTTTTCAGTCGCACATCCAACGGTTCTTCGTGCAGTCTTTCCCAGTCACTTTCGCCGCAGTTAATCGCGTTTTTTTCATATAATAGAGGAAAATGTGCCAAACATTTTGAGATCAATCAGTTCAATCGACAAACTCACTAAAATGGATTGTGCGTGGGTGCGAATCTTCGGCTTGCTTCTGGCAATGGCAGCAAAAGGTACCCGAATATGTTCCTGCTGGTAAAACACCCTCACTATTGAATTGTCTACAGCAAAATCCCAAAACGCCATAATCGACCCGATAAAAGACGCGCTCTTCCTGCACAATTTCATTCAGACCAACAACACCCTGCAAGACTGCGTCTTCCGGCCGTACAACGTGAAGGAAATGTGTCCCGACCCGGACATTCGGTAAGCCTGAAACTCAACTCAAAAACTCAGCCTGGGTAATACTGTGTGTTAAGACACTTGTGTGTTGATGCCGCGACACCGGGCCTCTTACGACGCGGCACTTTGAACAACACTTAACATTTAAGATGCCACTTCGGATTGCAGTTCGTCAAGGCCGCGCGCAGTTGCCATATTTTCTGACCCTCTCGGCAGGGATTATTTACGTTATAAAGCCGCACGAACGAAAGTGGTCAAAATACTTGTCTACTGATTACTGATTCCATGATTTTCGTGGGCTGAAAATTGTCTCGAGTTATTGCTCGCAGCCACTGTTTTAACAACCCATCGTCTTTTGGGAAACTGAACACACTCACTGTTGATTTTCCACTATAATTTCCTTTGCACTTGAGTACACAGCACTTATAGGGCATTTTACAATATTTATTTAAAAAACACAGATATAAAACACTCAAAACACACTTTGGAGCTTAATTTTAGAGCCTGCAATCGATTACAATCACCGTTAGCAAACTTACGAACCACTAGACATCACGAAACACAGCATCTTCTGTGTTATGTGCGCTGTGCCGCTGTATCAATACGGTGTCGCTGTGTCAACACCTGAAACGCCACTGTGTTACCTAGGCCTATCAAAAACTCCCCAAAAATTCCACATGCTATCGCTCCAGATACGTCCTGTACACGAACGGCGAGAAGCAGGTTTATAGTCATACTCAAACTGACTGGTTGAGGCAAAGCATTTGGGACCCCTTGAAGGAAGACATGCTGTTGGTGCATGGATATGCTGGAGGCGACGACACTTTACCAATTAACGTCCTGAGAGATGGTAAGAGGAACAGGTCCAATTGGAGCGAAGTTTCCTAAGTTTCTCCTGCAGCGTACATTCGGAATGGCTCCTACAACACCTGGGTGCTCGACTGGGGGGCCCTGGGCGAAGCCCCCTGCTACCGGGCGGCTGTAAGCAACATGCGGGCGGTGGCTAGATGTACCGGAGACTTTCTGACCATGCTCAGAACCGCCGGATTGCCTACGGAAAAACTCACCTGCGTAGGGCATTCGTTGGGTGAGCCATTTGGGCTGCAAAACTTGGCTCTGCCCCTCAACCTGCAATGTTCCAGGCGCTCACATATGCGGCTTGATTTCCAAGTACGTGCTGTTCCGAATGCACCGGATCGTCGCTCTGGACCCAGCCAGGCCGTTGATCACCAACCAAGTGAAGCTGAATTCTGGAGACGCTGCAGCTGTCCATGTGCTGCATACGAACGCAGGCCACTATGGGGAGGGCGGGCGTGGTGGGCATGTGGATTTTTGCATCAACGGAGGCCGAATCCAGCCCTATTGCGAAAATGGCGATAGTAAGTGATCCTGATCCTGATCCTGATGGCCTCAACGGGGAGCCTAAACGAGTAGAATTCATTGTTTAGTTGATGCCCAGTTGTGCAGCCATATTTGGGCGATTTGCTACATGGCGGAGAGTTTGGTGCCTCATTTGCAGAAGAAGGCGGAACCATGCGCGAGGAGGTGCCCATCGGGGCCCAGGCCTGGCAACAGAGTGGGCATCCCAATGATGATGGGCCAGTCCACTCCTCTGACGTAAGTCTCAACATTTTGCAACTAAATCCTCTACTAAAATTGTCTACTCCTTAGAGCTGCAGGCTCTTATTGCATACACGATAAGGAGCCTCCCTACTGCCCGAAGAAAGCTGGCCACATTGGCGACTCCAGATGCTGCTTGAAGCCCCCAGAATCTCCGCCTCCTGCAAGGCGCTTTTGGGGCTGATGGGGCGTGGAATTACCCAATTTTTGTACATATAGCGGGAATTTACATTACGGAGACTTAAGTAGGTATATGGGGTGATTTGTTCATGGACCTGGATGGCTTGGGGGGTGGAGGATGGAGCAAACTAATCGTTTTCTCGGGGAGTTGAGGGGAAAACAGACTGCAGTCCAGTGCGCATTTATAGATGTAAAATGAATAAATTTCTGTTTTTACTTGGTTGTTGGTGTTTTTGTTCTGGCAAACTCGCCAATGGAAGTGGTTTTGGTATTGGAAAACTTCCAGTGKGWCCCAAAGCGATTTGTCAGCAATTTTTTGCAGAAAATTCAGKKTYTTTCTATTCACCTRAGAGCTAAGTGCTTGTAGCCATTCTGCGGAAAATGTTTGGCAGTTTTGATTGAAAAATGCTRCAAAATTTACTCAAAAACATGGGAATTGASGAAACTGAATCAGAAGTTTTCCTGATGYATTCCTCTGCAGTTYCGTCCTCTAGAGAACTTTTCGATATTTAAAAACGCGTTGAAAGTCTCAAAACTATTCCATTTATCCACAAAAACTTTTGATGCGTGTTTTTGCATTTTAAAATTCTAGTTTTCTAAATAAAATCATCGCAAGTATGGTCTGATTTTTTTTGCAAAAAGTGTCGACAGCAATTTGTRTTTCCATTGAACAAGAGCCAAAGATTTGTTAGAAAATGKGGCTTTTTTYTGGAGTTAGAGCTCAGACTCTGTTAACGACAGAWAAGTAATAAAATTTTGAACGAAAATGTAAGTGGAAACACGAAAAACCTTGTTGTCCCGGGTGTTTCTGAGTAACAATTTAATAAACAACTTTTCTATATTTTTTTCTCCATGAATGACCTAAGCGAGAGTCACGCCTACACTGTTCAAGCAAACCACTTCTGAAGATGCAAGCGACTTGTGCTTGCGAAACGTCAGGAAGCAATTCTACCGAACCATGGCCTAAACACCCTAAAAACCCATTAGTATCAAGGAATGACCTCAAAAGTTTATTTCTGTTGATGAAACTTGATGTTTAAGTTAGACCGGGAAGTTGAATCGAATTGCCTAATTCTGCAATTCTTTTGATTTGTGTTTAACTAGGACCCAATCTTTTTTATAAGAGCCAATTTAATTGGTTGCGGGAATTAAAAGTTTTTCTTGTTTTCTTCTGGGCGAGTTCGGCGACGCCAGAATGCACACAGCAAGTTTGTCTATACCTGTCCTTGTTGGTGCAGCCGCACAGCGCAATAAACAAGGCGAGACAAATTGATCGCTCCAGCTGCGTTTCTCTCGCGTCCGAATATGCCTGTTCTTGTCTGCAGCATTGCGTCAAACCGCCAAAGTGTTGCAAGGGCATTGCCAAACTGCTCTGGACCTGATTTTGGTTGCACCTTTAGTATTTTTTAGGCTGTTTTAGTTAAAAAAAAAAAAAAATCAGTGTTCATTATTAAACGGTTTTTTTCTTAAAGAAGCGATTATCGCAAGTGTGACCATTAAAGACTCATCGTTACAATTAAAATCCAAGAGAAACCAATTCAATAAGAGATAGACTTTCGAAACCATTCCTTGAAACTAATGGGTTTTTCGGGTTTTTAGGCCGTCGTTCGGTAGAATTTCTTCTTGACGTTTCGCAAGCACGAATGGCTTGCATCTTCAGAAGTGGTTTGTTTGAACGCTTACACTGTTCCATCGGCACATGACGGCCTAAAAATCCATTAGTTTCAACCAATTCAATGTTTGCAAATAAGACTTTTTCATCGGTGGGCAAAAAGTGTTCTAAGATAAAGTCTGAAAATTTTTCCATTTATCCACAAAAACTTTTGATGCGTGTTTGGCTGACTCAAAATCGCGTTTTGCATTTGAAAACACAGGGAGCGTTCTTCATGTGTCTTGAAAATCGGCAATCGGTTGAAAATTAATTTGATTTTGAGCCAAAGAGTGTTAGGAGTATTGAAGGCTGAAGTTACTCGCACATATTGGACTCCAGCTCCGGTACCTGGACGAGTTTTTACAAAATATTACAAACAAGATAACTTTTTATTTGAAATATTTTTTGAAAAAATGCCGTTTTTTGCCGGAATCCAGAATATGCCCGGAAAAGCAAACGTCCTTGAAGCGCATAAATTTAAATTCAGGCAAGTCGTCTGTTCCATCTCGGAGCAGCTAAACAAAAGACGAGTCCAACGTTGCCATTTACCACGATTGGTCATTTCTAATCTAATTTAATAAATCTATTCGTTGGCAGGTTTGACCAGGAAAAAACTACTTTTATTACTAGACCCCAACTTTTTAATGCCAGCTTTGTGTGTGACTTGTGGAAAAGTATTTTCAACTGATACTGATCGTAATAGACACGAAAAAGTATTGTATGAAATGTTCTTATGAAAGTAAAATATTTAAATGTGTGCAAAGAGACGATATTTCATTTAAATATTGTAAGAAACTAACTCAAAAAAAAAGAAAAACACTTACTAACCCAAACAAACCAAAGCATACGCATCTTCCACATCGCAAGGAAAAGCAAAACTAAAATTTATTTACATTTGCCACGGGCTCTACCAGTAAGCCACATTGGCAGCTTGTTGAAACCACTTGCGCTCAGTTGTTCAGTCAGATGATTAAAAACTTGTAATATTTCAGAAAAATGCATGATTTAACTGAGTTTTGTCGCATTAGTAAAGGAAACGGCACTCTTCAATGCTGCAACACGCGCTTTTGCATCTCAATCGCTTTTTGGAAATTTATATTTAAAACTCACTTTGAAGCTAAACGGCATCATTTAATACGCACTCTGATGATTAAAAATTTGTAGAAATTCAATTGAAAGAGCCGTTGAACTAAATTTTGTGGCATGCGTGCAAGAAAAAAGGCTCCTTCAAAGGCCACAACATGCACTTTTATACCTTGATAGGCTTTTTGGTAACACATTTTGCAAAACTTCTTCTGCATGAGCTGCCGCTCATAATGGAAACTCAGATAATTAAAAATTTGTACTTGCTTCAACCCGATTTTCAGATATTTCATCATGAAATATCTACAACATTTTTTGAACCTGCAGAACAAAAGCGGTGAAGGTATCAAGTTGGAACGTAGCGCCCTATAGAAATCTTGCCTCTCTCTTAGACTCCATTGTGTGCGAGTGAGACTACCGATGCCAGCCAAGTTCTAGAACAGGAAAATGGGTTTATGTTAATTCGTTCGAGTCAAATAGTTTGCTTCCTTGAACGTGAACTGGCCTCTGAGGATGCCTCCCAGGCGTGCTAGAGAAACGTCAGCACCAACTTTCTATGGACGAGGACTTAAAAATCCGCGAATTTATTCAAATTTTCTGTTAATTCCAGAGTTACTGGCAGACAAGTTTAAGGCGAGTATATTCGAATGAACCAAAGACGGATCCAGCTTGATGCACATCGCTTTGTTGAATGGACATGGAACTCCACATGCCCAACAAGGTAAGTAGCCAGTTTCATTGAAAAAACCTCTTTATTTACAGAAACGGATAAAAATAGCCTCCGTTCTTCCACTTGGCGTCTCTTGTGTTGAATTTCAAATCTGATGATGGCGCTGCTGTCTCGCTGAAACGTTATATGAAATAAACGATATCCACATTTTCGTTTGACATTTTGACTGAAACCCAGGAAAGAAATAGTATAAAAACAATTACACGCAATCAGGAAAAAAGTTGAGTTAAAACGCATCGAGTAAAAGCCCGATAAAGAAACAGCTCAGTTTAAGCTAAATGGTGCTTTGCATTTGATAATTCCGACCATTTTTGTGCAGTTTCTCGCATAAAACTGCTGGTCACAGAATGTGAAAAGTACAAATTGGCGAACAAAAGAGAATGTTTGCCGAGCGATCAAAAGAATGTGTTCCTATCTACTTCTTCCCCAAACACTAAACGTCTGTTTTTTCCTCAAAATTCATTTCTTGTGCCCGAAGTTTGGCAGCAAACAGCAAACGAGCTTCATTTCAAAAAACTCGCAAACTGGAGACTAAGCCGAAGAAATCGATTTTACCCCACAATCAAATAAACTGTTGCCATTGAAGCAGATGAAGTTGAAAAAGACTTCAATTTGTTGAACCCTCTTGATTGATTACTGCCTGGAAAATGTGGTCGATTGTGAAAATTTCCTGCAAATAATAAACTTTCACTGTACTTAACTTTCCATGGTCGTTTAAGCGGAAGTTGGACCGGACGTTGGCGTGCTGACCGATAGAGCTGATGTAAGAAATCCGCATACTAAGTAGAATCGATATTCTTTTCCAGTAACCCTTAACTTACATTCCTCGGCCCTAAATATAGGTTGCAACCCGCTTTGTTCAGTTTTTCCAAGGTTTTTCCATCTGCAACTGCCGAAGTCCCAATTTGTGTCAAAATATGATAGATTTTTGATTTTTTTGGGATTGCAATCGCAGTTTGAGCGAAGATTTCTGTACCTCAAACCTTCTAAAAGCATAAGTAAACCTTCCTGAACAAAACTGGGCACGTGTGCTGCGGCCCCTCCTGCGAGCATAAAAAGCGTTTAATCACTGCAAGGATCATCAAAAAATTAACGATTTTTTCCAGTAAAAGCAACAATGCCTCCATGTCTTCGAGCTGTTTCAAGAACCAGAAATCCTGCACGCAATCCTGTCATATTCAAATTTGGACCGTCGATCAAGACGCCAAACAGTGGGGGAAAACCTGCCCCATTGGCCGAGATTTCTGCAATAATTCGCCCAGTGCTTTGTTGTTTCTTGGCACAGCATGCTGAGCAGTGGCGAAATCCTGTTGCGTTGCATATCGCTGATTTTTTTGATTTTCGTGAAAAACCTCAAGAGGATGCAAAAACGCGCGTCGTGCAGTCAGGGCGGGAATTAGTGTTCCTCACTGGAAAATGACTAAGTTTTGCAGGTTCAGTTGTTGAAAATGTCGCAACCGGGCGGCAAAAAGGGCGCGGGAAAAGCCCCCCCCAAAGGCGAGAAAAATGAGGAAAGCAATGGAACCGCCAAAGCAGGTGAGTGGCAGTTTGGAGAGCATTTACAAAAAAAAAGTGCCAAAGTCGCATCTTTTGCGGTGCGTCAAAATGCTGCAGGAGTAGACGCAAACACCAGCATGTGTAGCAAATGGAAACCCCCCTTGCAGGTGCCACCAAAGAGGCCAAAGACAAGGAGGAAACTTCTAGTAATCCTGATGGCGACGAAACGCCGAGCTCGAAGCCTCAATCGGCCGGAGCAAATGTGCGAGATGCGGCTCAGCGCATTTTAACTCTTTGCCAAAAGGCAGAATGGGCCCCTATCGACCAAATTCTAAAGTCGATGGAAAAAGCCATCAGCAATGCGGGAGAAGACGCTCACACCACTCCTTTGGCAGGAATTGCCGATTTGGTAAGCGAATGATTTCTGCATCTCCCCACAACTTGACACTCCAAGAGTTTCCATGTGGATGAAGGGCATTTTTTGACCATGTGCTTACGGACACCCTGTATAATATAATTGGCTTTCAGCCCACAGGCATGACGCCCTTGATGTACGCAGTAAAAGACAACAGAACGTCTCTATTAGATCGGATGATTGATCTTGGATCCGATGTTGGCGCCAGAAATAATGTGAGTGAAAAACGTATTTTTCAAAAATTTTCAAAAGGCCTACGCCATCAGTGAAATCAACATTGAAACAATCGTTTTTTCGTTTGCATCGTTAGAGGCAACATAAATTGGTCGCCTTTGGTGTGTGCATATTCAGTCTCTTATCGAGAATTTGCCCTAGAAAGAGCGATTATTGCGAACTTGGCGATGGCGTGATGAAAATTATTAGTACAAATGACCCGAAAGTCTCTGACGCGCAATAAATCGGTGCCAACCTTCCAACGGGCAGCGATTAAACTGAGGATTTATTCACAAAAAACAATAAAATACGCCTTTTTCGTTTTCTTCGAATCGATGCGTTAATTGTAGCTGACCCAAAAAAGTTTCGTCAACGATGAACAGCACAAAAGCTATCCAGTAAACCGCACCTAAACAGCTTTCTAATCAGGATAAAACGTTTTTGACTTTCTGCATGCTAATATCGACTGGAACAACATTAATCTTGCTAATTTCCCATTATCATCGTGCATCCCTGCCATGAATAATCCGCTGATGGCATTGATTGATTTAATATTTGCACGTGAATGTGCAATTGAGAGTTTACGCAGTTTATTGCTGTCTTCATCAGATTTTTGAATTTTCTCTTTAAATCCCCATAGGATAACTACAATGTGTTGCACATTTCTGCGATGCACTCGCGCGAAGATGTTGTCAAGCTCCTGCTGGGGAAAAAGGGCGTTGATCCCTACTCCACTGGAGGGGTAAGCAGATCCTTTCAGAAGGTCCAGGACATTGGGAAACCCCTCAAAAATCCTTTTGCAGAGTCGCAATCAAACGGCGGTTCATTTGGTGGCATCCAGACAAACGGGCACAGCTACAGCCATTTTGCGGGCACTCCTGCAGGCTGCAGGAAAAGACATCAGGTTGAAAGTGGATGGGGTGAGTACAGTATATAACAATCATCGCAAGTATGGTCTGATTTTTTTGCAAAAAGTGTCGACAGCTATTTCTATTTCCATTGAACAAGAGCCAAAGATGTGTTAGAAAATGTGGATTTTTTCGGAGTTAGAGCTCAGACTCTGTTAACGATAGAAAAGCAATAAAATTTTGAAGTAAAATGTAAGTGGACATATGAAAAATCCTTGTTGTCCCGGGTGTTTCTGAGTAACAATTTAATAAACAACTTTTGTATTTATTTTTTTTCTGGATAAATGATCTAATCGAATTGCCTAATCCTGCAATTTATTTGATTTGTGTTTAACTAGGACCCAACCTTTTTTATAAGA